ACAAGAGGTACTGTACCCTTTAAAACCCTCAGCCATAGTTAACCCTTACTCTCTTAAATTCTTCTTGTCAGGTATTTGGTCACAACAGTAAACCTAGGGCTGGGTGTGGTGGTGTGCACCTTTAATCCTGACACTCAGGAGGCAGGGGCAGGCAGAGCTCTGTGAGATCAAGGCTATATAAGGAGTTTCAGGCAAGCCAGAATTACATAGTGAGATCTTGACTTAAAAAAAAAAAACAAAAAAAACTAATAAAGAGACTAATTACCAGGACTTCCTTGTGGGTGAATGGGTATGAAACAAGATGGCCAGCTCGAAAGACCACTAGGTCATTATCACAAGGGCTAGGGGTCACAAAGCCCTGTCCCAAGCAGCTGAGTCCCAAGGCAAAGCCTCAAGGCCCCCCCCACAAAATAAAAGAGTCTACTGAACTTGTGGTATCTCTGCAGTTCTGGCCTCCATGGCAGTGCAGGTCCAGCCTTTACTCCCCCAGGAGACTGTGAGTCTCCCCTCTAGCCCCAGCCAGCAGAGAGGCTGTAGGAGAACCAAATAGGTACTTACACCAAGTCTGGGCAGGTACCTCCTGGGCCCACTTCAGAGACTAAGGAAGGTGAGCTGGGGCTGCAGCAGCCCTGGCTAGAGGCTCAGTAGCTGTCTATCTCCATCACCTGCCCTGAAGACGGTGAGAAGGGAGATGTGGGAGGGTTTGGGCTCTCTCAGCAGCCACCTGGGAGCAGGCTCTGTGACCCATGCCTCACCAGTGTGTCACTGGGGATGGCTCTGCTGGGTCTCCACTCCCCAAAGCTGGCCAGTGCCATTCACACATGCTCTCTTCCCCCAGGTCACATGGATAGGTATGTCCTCACCTCACTGAGGGAAGGCAACAGCAGCTGAAGGGAAGGAAGAAAAGGAGGACTTTGCATTATCAGTTGTCCTGCATCTCTACAGAAAGGGAGCTTGAATGGGAGGAAGCAACTTCCCTATGAAGCTCAAGAAAGATCCAACAGGTCTGAAAATGAGGCCAGTGGGACACGGGATAAGGGGCCAACCCGATGAGCCATTCACTGTTCCCAGTGCAGGCCCTACCCTTCTTATTTATTGGAATTCAGATTGAGCATCCATTGTGTACCAAGTACCCATCTCATCTAACCTTCGCATGGGTCAAGATGTGCACAGGCTACTGTGATGGCAAACAAGCCCGACCCTGGAGGCAGAGAGGGCAGGGTCACTTACCCAGCTTAGCTCCAGAGAGCTTGACCTTCATATCACTAAAGCTCTGAAGCCATTTGTTCCCCGCAATAGTCCACTGATGCTCCTGGGGATGCTGGACTGTAGAAGGAGGCTCTAGCTTGCTGCTGCTGTTGTCATCACTCAGTTGGGAGTAGAGGACCTTCTGTTCTTCCCACACAGGTGTGTCCCAGGTCCTTGAGTGCCTGAGGCCCAGAGGCTAGACTGGTAGAGCCAGGGCCCTGTTGCTCTGGAAGCCAGAGGCTTATAGCTCCAGGTGACTGCCCTGGGCCTTTGCTAGCAGCTCATCACTGGGCATCTGTTGTAATCTTCAGCTTCAGAAACAACAAGCAGCAGGTAGTACCTGCCAGTATCACAGCTCCTGGGTGGGCCTCAAGTGTCAGGACCCTCGACTTCTATGGAGAGTAGTGTCATAGCACTCGTGCCTACAGCATTGGGCCCCTCTGCCCTTGGTAGCAGCTAGTGTTCTGCTCCAGGTCTATGATGTGGGAATCCCCAGCCCATAAGAATTGGCAGCAGGGGCTGGAGAGATGGCTCAGTGCTTAAGAGCACTGGCTGCTCTTACAGAGGACCAAAATTCAGTTCCCAGCACCCACCTGGCAGCTAACAACCATCTGTAACTTCAGTTCCAGGTGATCTGACCTCCTCGGGCATTGCTCAGCACAGGTGCCCTCACATGAATGCAGGCAAATACACTCATACACATAAAATAAAAATATTAGATAATTTTTTTTTCAAAAAAAAAATTGGCAGCAACCTGAAACTCTTCCAGGGACTTGAGCCCAGAGTTTCTCAGTCTTCTATCTTCCTTGAGCCTTGGCTCTCCACCCTCTGTCACTTCTCAATTTCTGCCATCCCTCATTGTCTTCCCTGCTCTATGGAAGACCTAATTCAGTGACTTACTACTGCTGCTGTGGCCCCTCTCATAACAAGACCAACGAGTAGCACAGTACAGGTTATCTGACTGGAAGAATGAACTGCCTGGACCTTCAGAGGGGTGGGAGGTAAGAGTATCTGAACCAATCACAGCCCAGCCCTTCATGAACACAAAGAACTTCATTCACATCACGCTGAATGAGGGACCATATTTGCACCAACCACAGCAGTTCCTTATGCAAATGAAGGATCATGTTTGGACCAATCATAGGCCCCCCTCCACTGCTTCCCCCCCCCTGGTCTGGATGGAAATACTTGGTTGAGTTCACCCAGGTTTGTGATGATAAAAGGGTCTCATACAAGGGGTTTCAAACAGTTGTGGCCAAAACTTTCAGGAGCAGGAGTGGTTGGGCAGCAAGCAGCTGCGTTTGGTGTGCAGATTTCCTCCATGGAGAGTTCAAAGCAGTAGGTGCTGGCATGAGGCACAGTCATGCTGGCTGCTTGGCTGACAGTCCTTCGCTCAAGGCAGGCTCTTAAAGACAAGTGTTCACAGCCTGCAACTGGAGCCTGAGTATGTTGGCTTAGATTAGTTTCTAGTGTGGAGGGAGATCCAGTGTGGTTAAACAAGATAGCTGTTTATCTCTCTCATTCCAAAAGTCATCAGAAAGCCGAATTCCAAAGCCAGAGCAGACACACCCCAGTGCCAGGGATGTAGGCCCCTGTCTTGTTTTGCTGCCGTAACTGTGACTACCTCTGGTCCCCAAATTAACCTATGGCTCAAGATAGCTGTTGTTACTACAGCCATCAAAAGCAGATCCAGAAGCAGGAAAGAGTTTCAGAGAGTTGCTTGTGCATTTCCACCCCACTGACCAGAATTCAGCTGCTAGGCCCCACTCACCCCCACACACCCTCACACATCCTCGGGGAAGGCTAGAAAGCATAGGCTTCACTGGGGCAGCTGTGCATCCAGCCAAAAATCAGGGATTCTATTACAATGGGAAAAGAAAAAGAAGTAAGACAGTATATGGGAGGACAGCTCAGACCCCACAGAAGACTAATTAAGACTAATTTAGACCATGTGCTCCCACAATTGCTCTTATGCAAGTCTCCAAAGGCATATTTATGAGGATTTGGAGTTTCACTGCTTATTGCGGCAACATCAAGTCCATCCAGGGGGCTGGTCAGAGTTGCTAAGCACTGGAGCACACCGGCTCCCAAAAGGAGCCCTTCTCCCACCTGCCTGGGAAGATCACCAAGACCCACTGGGGACAGAGGGGTCGCATGGCTGTGGAGTTTCCATGATATGAAGGTGGCGTATCAGCCCCCGCCCCCATGTGAGCACTGGAGGTGAAGAAGTCACCAAGACCCTGGCTCCTGCCTTGTGGGCAGACAAACTCTTTCTCACCACAAGAGGCTTACATCTGGCTTTGTTTTTGCCATGTGTGTATAGTGTGTATATTTTTTAAACAAATAAAAAAACAAAAGGGCTGGAAAGTTGGGCCAGCAGTTTAGAGCATATACTGCTCTTACAAATGACCTGAATTCAATTTCTAGTACCCATGTTGGGGCAGATCACAATTACCCATAACTCCAGCTCTAGGGGATCCAATGCCCTCTTCTGGTCTCGGTGGACACCCTCACACACGTGGAATATACTCACACACATACACATAAATAAAAATAAATCTTCCTCAGCTCTGTGGTAGCTCCCTGCACTCTAACTTACTCAGCTACCACTCAGACAGAGGTTGCTGCTGTGACATAACAGCCTCTTACCCCCAACACATACATACACATGAGAGAGAGAGAGAGAGAGAGAGAGAGAGAGAGAGAGAGAGAGAAAGAGAAAGACAGAGAGAGGTGGGATTAATAATGGTGAATTCAGCTCTAGACTTGACACTTGACTATCCAACCATCCCCTCTGGTTCCCAAAGCTGCCCTGGTCCCCATGAATGCACATTTCCTGTCCCTATCTTCCAGGCTCATAGGTGAGCCCAGGGCACTGGCAGAGTCACCACTTGAGAGAAGCCTCCAAGACTCTGGCAGGTCTATGGTCTGTCCCATCACCAAGAGCCCAGCTCACTGAATGTACCAGGTAATCTGCAATGCCTAGGTCTGTCAAAGGCCTTCCAGGCCTGGGTCCCAGGAGGCCTAGGTCCCACGAAGCCTTACATGTGGACCTCAGGGTTGGTCACAAGATCTACTGAAATCCATGCCCTTGACACCCACCTGACCAGAAGGCTAGCTGAGGGGGCAGATGCCAGCCTGCCTCTGGGACCAGCTGCTATGACCTCCCCTGGGCTCTGACCACATAGCTTGGCTCTGACAGCAAGCTCTTGCTTGGGTATGGTTAGGAACTGCAGTGACTCCATTTTCCACACTGTACCTGTGCAGAACACTCTACAGTCCCAGAGCTTTCTTCAACCTGTTCCCCACATCAGCTGTATTCAGTATCCCTCCTGTGTCCCACACTGTATATCCCTCCCATGCACTGTTCCAAAGACTTGAACAAGAGCTGCCATAGTAGGTTCCTTCAATTACCAGCCAGCCACACGTTCCCAGCACTCACAGCAAGCCCTATAGGACAAACGGGCTCCTTGTCCCCACTTTACAGATGGCATAACTGGAGAGAGGTGGCCCAAGATGACAACTTAAGGAGCAGAGAACAGTAGGGACCACAGACTCTACCACACTGTGCTGAGCATGGTGGGGAGACCTCAGCTCCTTGAAACTCCCTTCTTGTGAATTGGCCTCCTCCATTCCAACAAGTGAGGGTGACCTGCCCCCACCCTGCGCTGGCAGCCAGTCCTGGGAAACATCCCTTAGCTGAGACTCCCTGGCAGGTTTGCAGCTCTGCTGCTGAGAGGAACCACATCTGCTATGCTTTCTGCTTTTATTAAAAAATGGATCAAGAAAATATACACACTGCAGCCCCTCGGCCAAGGAGGCTGACGGCTGTGGGGAAGGGGTGAGGCGTGCTGGACCCCCAGCACAACTATGAGTGCTGAGAAGGCGGGGGTCCCCAGCTGGAACACAAGTGGCCAAGGGGAACTAGGGGTGGAGAGCAGGAAGAAGCTTGCAGCCTCGAATGCTGCCTGCAGAGTTCCTGAACCATGCTCTGCTCTGTCTGGGAGTCATTCTGTCCTCATAGGTCCAGCTGTGGCCAGGGTGCCCACTCAGGCGTTGATGACTTTCCAGCGCTCACTGTCTGTGCTGTTGATGCTGCCCGTGTGGCAGGGCATGGATGCAATGTCATCTAGATAGGCCACCCCAGCAGAGTCAAACTGTGTGCTGGAGTAGCTGGCCCCTGAGACTCCAGTGGGCCCTACAGCTTCCAATCCCTCACGCCGGGCTACGGCATAGGGCTGCGGCAGGTGCATGTCTGGCTCTTCAGCCTCATCCACTTGGCATTTGTAGGAAAAGAGGATCTTGGGCTCCGAGCTGGGGGGAGAGTAGCAGGGAAACCGCAGGGTCAGGGGGCAGAGGCCAGGCAGAAGCAAGCCTGCCACTAGCCTAGCTGACCCCGAGGCCCGGACTCTGGAGTCCACCAATATTTGCTTTGAAGCTGGTCCCTCCCTCCCATGCTTGAGAGATGAGGCAGAAGCTCTGCACCTCCCTACCCATAGGTGCATCAGCCCCTCGTGGGAGACAACAGACTAAACCCTCGTCTTTGAAGTGACCCGCATGCCTGCAGCCTGTACTACTGCACACTCCTGAACCTGTCTCCATCCTCAGGATAGCTAGAGGAGGTTCAAGAGAGTAGTGGCCCATGCAATGGAAAGCAGGCAGCCTTCTAGAAGAGGCCCTTCCTTGAAGAGACTCGTGCCTACCACACCAGCCCTGGCAGGGGAGCAAACCCCTTGCCCACACTCCACCAGGTAGGCCCAGGTAGGAGCCAATCCCTGTATTTGTATCCTGACACTCCCCACATACATCTGGACACACTTATACTCTCCCCACACTGGGGACCCTAAGGGTCCTTCCAGGTACACCCATCCATGTGCTCCGTAAATGCAGTCTTTGCTTTCTTTGCTCCTTTGGTGTCTGTGGGGTTTAGCAGGGTCTGGCCCACAAGTAGGTACTTGCTGAGGAATGAGGTAATGGACACACAGACACAGATTCATGTTCTCTCTAGTCCAGGTACAGTCCCAAAGGCAGCCACATGGGGATGCTCAGAGACCTGATGGTCACTCACCCAAAGAAGCCCCTGAGGAAGGCCACATAGATGAGCGGTGCAAAGAAGCTGAAGTACAGGAAGGTGGTGGCGTCCACACAGCTGTGGTAGGGAACAGGTCAGAGTGGCCTATAGGCCCCACCCTGACCCTTCTTCAACTGTGGACAAGCACTCCACATCCTGCCCACCCCCAAGGTGGGCACCCCCTTACCAGAGCCCCTCGATGATGTCAGCACACAGCAGCGCGCTCCCTAGCCCCTGCAGCAGGTTGAGCATGGCCAGGATGCCAGCATACACATAGAAACTCCTCCGCGCTGGGGGATGGGGGTCATCAGCTCCCACACTGGCAGCTAGGTTCTGCCAACCCTGCCTTATACCCTTTGAGCCCAGATGTGAACCCTTCCTCCCCACCACCACTCCCCACCATCACCCCGTTCTGTCCTGCCCCAGCAGGTACTCACAGGGCAGAGATATACGCTCCTTCAGTGGGGTCTTAGGGAGGATCACCACCAGTGAGTACACCTGCAGAGAGAGGGGTGACAAGGAGGCCAGGCCAGGCCAGGCTACCTCGCCTGCCCCCAGGGAGCCCACAGGACCTCACCAGGAAGAAGAAGCAAGAGCTGACCAGCCAGAACTGGCGGCCGCCATGGCCATAGATGTTGAAGTCCTCAGCTGAAAGGTGGGAATCAGGGTACAGGATCTCCAGGGTCCCCTGTGGTGAGCAGGGAGGTCAGATCACTCCTGCCACTCTGGCCCCTCTCAGCCTTCACAGAGCCCAGGGCTCTCCAGCATGCCAGGCCCTGCCCTTGATGATGCCCTGGCTATGCCCACACTCCTAACTGCAGACCTGACTGAGTCTCTTGGGGGCAAAATCTTTAAGGTGCAACACTTATTCCCAGGTACCTGTGTGGGCACTAGCTTCAACATGGTTCTTAGCTTCCCCTACCCCCATCTGAGTGTCCAGCAGAGGCCAGCCTTACCTGACGCACAAGACTCCTTGGGAACACTCAGTTTGGGAATATGACCTCTGACACCCCCCACATACCTGGGTAACTGAGTAGGCCAGAGACAGCACTGTGGTAATGGCTAGCACCCGCTTGATGCTGGACTTACTCTCTAGATGACCTGCAAGACACAGGGGTCAGTCACCCCTCCCGTCCCCCACTACAGGCTATCTCAAGGTTGCAGGAAGAGCAGGGAGAGTAGGCCCAGGCCAGAGGGTGGCAACATAACACACATACCGAAGGCAAGGCCCAGGATGATCACACTCAGCTCAATGGCCAACAGGAAGAAGCGGGTAATCTCCCACAGGATCTAAGCACAGAGCAGCATGGGGTAAACCTGGGGTGGGCTCTGCCTAACCAGTTGCTCCTGAATCCCTACCACAGGATCAGGGCTCAGAACAGCATGGGGTCAGCCTATGGGGTGGCCCCCACCCAGTCAACCGTCCCTGAATCCCTCCCATAGGATCTGAGCACAGAGCAGCACAGGGTCAGGGTGGGTGGTCTCTCTCACACCTTGTCAGCAACTGTTGCAGCATCTGAGGCACTGACCGTCATAGACACCACAGCCCGGGCAATGCCCACTAGGGCCACCACGAACACCTGCATGGCAGGGAAGGAGAGGCTGTGAATCAGAACTAGGGCCTCCATGAATGTTGGGGACAACACAGCCCCCACCTCCGCTGGTGCCATTCATGATGGGATGATTTAAACTACACAAGGAATGGGACATGGTGGATCAGAATGGGACACAGTGCTCAGAGTCCCCACTGATGCTCACTCAAAAGTTGGCCACAGTGGGCCTCAGTGGCTCCCCACAGTTAAAGGGTGGACCTGGCAAGTGGGCTCAGACCCAGCCCTGCTACTTCCTGCTCTATGACCCCTGACAGGTGACAGCACCTTAGGGCCAGTTTCTCCATCTACAGATGGAGGTAAAATAGCACCTGCTGCATTTGGTTGTTGGGAGCAGAATATGTGGTAGGAGTGAACCCTCAATCCTCAGACCTCCTTCCCAGGTCTCAGGTAAGATTAAGCACCAGTCCCAGCTTGAGAAGAGTGGCTAGAGCCCAGAAACTGTCAGAGCTGATAGGCAGGGCTACCTCCAGCTTAGAGCCTGGGCTGTAGGGGGTCCTGTTGCCCTGAGGATAGAGACTGCTAGGGGTGGGGTCTTGACCTTAGGCAAGGGTAGGAGGAGCCTCTGAACCACCAATGCCTGAAGCCCTGGTGGTCTCAGCCTTTCTTCTTTGGGCTTCTGGGAGTTTTGAGTTTTCTGAACTCAGGAACAAGACAGCCCAGACACACACCACCCTCTCCTCTGTGCCATGAAACCTGTACCACACCCTGGCAGGAGGCTACACCTAGAAATATCACCTCTGAAACTACTGCTTCGTGCCTGCCTCCCTTTCCCCAGGCAACATGTATGGGGTCCACCAAGGGCTGAGGCCATAGGCTCTCAGCTAAGCCTGCTGCAAAGATATCCCACAAGGTGGAAGGATGGTCAGCTAGATAGCAGGATGGAGTCACTTTGGATTCTTTAGCTTACCAATCATTCATTTCTTCTCTTTAGTACCAGCTACCAATTCTCTTAAAGCTTACCAGCAGGCCTCAGCCAGTGTGATCTGCTGACCTCTGAGACCTGACTCTACCTTTCCTTTCCTTGCTAGCCAGTGACCGGCTCAGGCATGAACATGGGATCCCGGGTGGGCCAATCCGAGGACAGGCCAGGTCTCCCCTGGCCAGCTAAGGGAGAGATGTTCCCTGGTAGAGCTGGCAGACAGGAGGTGAGCTCCCCATTGCCCTTGCCATGTTTGAAGCTCTATGAGGAGACCTTTGAGCTGGGGGTAGGGGAGTGAAGGGCAGAGGCAGCAGAGTCCCTGGACCCAGCCAGAGGCAGTTCACTGATTCCTTTGTGCTTAAACTAGTCAGCAACTGCAGTTAACTCACCAGGATGTAGAAAGTGATAAAAATGGGGCTGGAAGTGACTCGGATCTTGGCCCGGGCTAATGGAAGCTTCCAGAGCAGGAAGATGAAGAAGAGCACATTGGGGATGAGCAGCAGGAGGTCCCAGTACCTGACTCTGCAGAAGAGTACAGAAGCCAGCTCACTGGTGGTATGCAGGCCCCACCCCACAACATCCCTTGGAAGCCCACCAGCCTGCAGCCCACCTGGAAGAGCCAATGTCCTCACCCAGAAGTCCACCAACCTGCAGTTCACCCACTCACAGTCCAATGACCCACAGACCACCAACCCACAGCTCACCCACAGCATGGTGAGCAGCCCCACCTGGAAGAGCCGATGTCTTCATACAGCAGTAGCAGGCAGGGGTGGGGCTCACTGATATCAGATGCTGGGGGTGGCGTCCATGCTGTGCTCCCGTTGGCCTCCTGAAGGCTGGCCATCTCTCAGGCAGTGGCCCTGGGGATGAGTCCATGCAGTTAGCGTATAGTGCACAGAACCCCAGCACTCTGCCTCTGTCTAAGGCCCCCAGGGAAAACCCAATGGGCTATATAGAGTACAGGCCAGACTTGGGGCTCACTGGATGGGAGGCTAGGAGAAGGCTGAGGGGGCCACCTACTTCATACAGGGCTCAGTCCCTCCTTTCTGGCTCTGCAAGTCCCCCTAGTCTCCCCACTCCAGGCACCTCCAATTACTAAGCATCAAGAGTTAGGCAGCAATGCTAGGCACTCAGTAGCACCTAGGGACTGCCTGCTCTGCCCCTGCGCCCGGCCTCCCCATGCCTCAGTGTCTCCCATGGAATGGCTGTGATAGCAGTGCCCTTTTAGTGAAGCTGTGGTGTTGCAGAACGTCCCCAACAGGCCTGCACTGGGAAGGTTTTGATGATGCAGAGTGCCCCCAAAAGGTCTGTATTGGGAAGGTTGGGTGATGGGCTCCACTTTGCAGAACTTGCCCAGGTCATCTGACACTCAGGCCACACAGTCACTAAGGTCCTTGGAGGGACCCTCTTTGTTGCACTGGAAAGGCAGATACAGATGGACACAGATGGAGAGGACACGTGGGCATAGGCAACTGATGGTGGCCAGAGAACCACATAAGTGGACTCTTGGTCAGAGGACTGTACAGACAGCAGCAGGACCTCCTGCATGTCAATCTGGACCCTAAGACCCATGGGTTGCAACATTAGTGTTTATCATCTGAAGGGAATCTCTACACAAAATCCACATAAAGCAGCAGCCAGGTAGGGATGTGCACAGGTGGTGCAGTGTCAGCCTTCCACCACTAGATGGCAGTAAAAAGAAGGGTCCTCAGGCAAAACGAATGGGCCTCCCAAAAGTGGTGTGGGTGGAGCCAGAGTGCCGTCAGTAAAACCCATGCAGAAATCCGAGGGTGGGGGCAGGGGATTAGAGATGGCTCAGAGGTTAAGAGGACTGGCTGTTCTTACCAAGGACCTGGGTTCAGTTCCCAGCACCCACATACATAGCAGCTAACAATGGTCCTTAACTCCAGTTCCAGTGCTCTCTTCTGGTTTCTGTGGGTTAGCACACATATGGTGCACATGCATGCAGGCCAAACACTCACACACATGCTGGGATCACCTTTGTAGCCTGGGTGACACACCAGGCCCCAGCTACTGCACCCAGGTGTATTCACTGACTGCACATTGAGGTTCATGCACCATGGGGAGACTTCTCATAGCTGTACACTGTACAAGGGCCACCGCCTGCTGACCAGTCTAGGGCGGGTCTAACACTCTGTCCACCGACCACAATAATGCATCAGGAGTCCTGTGGATTCCAATAACAGCATCCTTGAGCAGCAGGCAGAGGCAGGGCTGGGGGACTCACAGACATTGTGTTTCCCTAGGACACAGCATTCTAGCACTCTAAGCAGATGGGTTGAGGCCCTGCACTCAGGCCCACCACCTTTTTTTTTTTACAGTAGGTGGTGGCCCTGGCTCTGGGGTAACATCCCTGACTGGTTGGCTGATTGGGAAAAATGAGGGAAGTATGTGCCTGGTACCCTGCACCCATAAGAAGCTGGCTTCTTCTCAGTCCCTATCAATGAAGAAGGAGAAGAGAGCCGTCACCCTTCACTCACGCACACTTCTGCTCCCAGCAGACCTGACCAGGTGTGCGCCAGGTACAAGTGGGGTTGCTTAGATGTGGTGGGGACAGGGCAGTTTCTCCTGGGGTCTTCCTCCCAGGGCAGGGAGCAGACAAAAATCAACCCCCCATGCTTACAAAACAAACTTCTAGAGATAAGTGTTGAGAAAATATGGCAACAAAGGGGGACAAAATGACAGAAACACAGTGTAGACAGAGGAGTCCCCAATATCCACACTTCCCTTTAGCAGAGCCCTGGATATCAGCTTGCTTTTTCCAGTTTCCCTTGCAGCAGGGTCTGGCCATGTGATAGTTACACACAAACTGGACATCAGCAAAGTGTAGCTTGCCAGTTTTTCAGGGAGTGCCCTTCTCCCTTCCTGTTGGCTAGAACATGATGCTATGGTGGGAGCAAGAGCAGCCATGTTAGACCATATGACAGACAGCATGTACTGAGGTCAAAAAGCAGCAAGGATGCTGTGTGGATCTTCCATGCATGCCCTGGGTTGCTTGCACAGACTGTCATATAAGACAGAAAGGTCTTCTCTCTTGCTATCTTGGCTTTGCTTCAACAGCTAAGGTTGAATTCCAAGGAACATAAAAGGGGACAGAAATACTTAAGTAGTTTAGTCAAGGTGACATCTGAGTTGAGGAGTCAGCCTTGGAAAACTGGATAAAAAGCATTCCTCAGAGAGAGATCAGCAAATGCAAAGACCCTGAGGTAGAAACAAGCTTGGTCAAAGAGCAAAAAGAACTGAGGGACTGAGATCAGCAGGTTGGTAGGGCTGGTCAGATGGGGTGATAATGCCCACATGTAAAGTGAATTCAACTGTCAGAGCAATGAGAAGATCTTTCCAAGAGGTGACAAGATTCCATTTCATGTGGGCAGGGTAACTAAGGCTGCTGTGGAAAGTGGACAGGAGTGGAAGATGGTGAGACAGGGAGATGGTGAGGAGTTATCATAAAGAGCCTTCCAACAGTCCAGGTTGGAGAGACTGATGATCCGAAGGGGCATTAGCAGTTCAGGTAGAGTGGGGTTTAATCATCCAGTGGGTCCCGCTTTTCTGAGGGAGCTTGGCGCCCATGGTCTGTCTAGCAGTTTAGGTGTAACCAAATCCGCAAAGCACAACCGCAGGAAATGTGCATGTATCCAAGCCTGCTCAACCAGGAAGTCCTGGCACCCTGGTCATTGAGAACCTGCCAGAGACCTCTCTCAGTCTCAGGAAGGAGGGACTTCCGGCTGAGGTCAGAAGACCGGGTATAACCATAGTAACCCTAGGCTGGGGTCCTGGAGAAAAAGCTAACAAGGAACAAAGCCACAATTCAGATGTAGACAGACCCTGTGAGCTCCTGGGAACTGCTGGGTTTGGCCACATCTGATACCCATCCTTTCAGGTCATAAAACCCACAAATTCCCTTTGCTATCAGGCCATTTGAGTCTGACCTCTGGATTTTCCCAAAAGTAGGTGCTTTTGTTTGTTTGTTTTGCATTACTGGAGATCAAACCCAGGGCCTCACACATGCTAGGTAATCACTCTACTTCTGACCTACATGCAAGTCCTCTTTTTATTTTTTATTTTGAGGCAGTCTCCCTAATTTATCTAAGCATATAGTAAGTCCTGAGCAGGTGACAGGCCTGCACCCCCAGACCCAGCCCATGGCTCATGTACTATAGAGTTGGCAGGCCAGGAGGAGGTTGCATTCCTGGCCTTACCTCCTTTGCTATGTGCCTTTGAATGAGTCATTTCCCTTTCTAAGTGTCACAGAGACAATATTACCTACCTAGGAAGGTTGCTGGAACAAAGAAAATCAGCTCTACAAATGTCCACAGCAGGGAAATGGACAATGTCTATCTTTTGTACCAGGAGAGAGGCTGAGGCCTGTGGGGGGAGGGGGTCCTGCCATAGGTCCAGGGAAACTTTAGAAGTCCTAGTGGCTATGCAGGAGGATCAGAGGTGCCAGCTACACATACACACACACACACACACCCAGCCACCCCACACTACTCTACTGGGAGCCACTCTCGACTCAGAGGTATGGGTCACCAGCTGGACTTCAGGTCAACTGTCCTCTCGGGCCTAGCCACCGCAGGGCAGCTCCACACCTAGCTGGAGGTGTATGTTTCAGAACTAAGTAACTGGACACTGCTGAGCGGGCTAGACCCCAGCAGCTGCAGAGCTCACAAGCTCTGGCTCTGGCAGTCACACTGGATCTTAGAGGCTGTTAGCTACACTGCACTCCAGCAGCCACTCTGGGGCTGGGAGGCTGTCAGCCGCACAGAACTTGCCACCATGATTCTGCTTCTGAAACAACTGAAGGGTCAATTTCACAAACACAAAAGCACAGGTTTCTGGTGTGCAGACTCAGTGCCATGTGCTTCTCACCTAATAACACACTGGAGAACCGAACCAGCCTTTAAGACAAGTGCCATGAAGGTCCCCATCACAGTTGGGAAGAACAGGCACGACTCAGGGGCCCCATAGTCTCAGCCCCCTACTCTGGAATCCAGTGCTTCTCCTTCACAGAGCTCCTGGCTTTGGTACAGATACTCACTCCAGTGACAGAGAAGTTGAGAGGTGCTGGCCCACCAGGAAAAGAGGAAGGAGAAAAGGCTGGCTGAGCCAGAGAGAAAGAGCAGGACATCTTGAAGGATTCATAGAGCACTCTGGGGGAGCCCAGGCCTCTGGGGACCAGGGAACTGGAGCAAGGTTTCTTTCACCTGTGAATCTGAAAGGGCTGCTCTGACCTCAAGAACATTCAGGCCAGGCTCCCACCCATTGCTCAGGCCTCCTCCTCCTCCCACCCTCTGTCCTGCTCAGCCCTGGGTGGAACCTACTCTGACACATCCCCACACTCACCTGGGGCCTTCTTTTCCTACCCTGGGCCTCAGCTGGCCTTTCCCATCTGTGCAACTGGGTTGCCCAAACCCCTGGAGCTCCTGTATGAGATCTTCACCCAGCAGAAGGAAGGTGCTACAAGCATCCCAAATGCTTACTTTCCTCCCTTGCCTCCTAGGCTACTGAACTTCCAAATCCAGCAACAGAGGAACATGGGAAAGCCCTGGAAGATAGAGGCCAAGTTTACTGCCCCTCTCACTGTCCTAAGAAGCCACTCCTGCCACCAGGAAGAAGGGAAGGCCCAGGTGACCTGCCCTATGCCCCGCCCCCTCTTCACCAGCCACCAGCTTACATTTCAGCTACCTAGGGACTTTTGGGCTTGCTTATCTCCCCCCACCCCCAACACTTGGGTCTGTGATTACCTCCTCCTAGAAGCACCCCCACTTTATTTTTTTATTTAAAAATTTATTTTTATTTTTTCTTAATTTTATGTGTATGAGTGTACAGCCTGCATGTGTGTGAGTGCACCTGTGTCCTACAGTGCCTGTGGAAGATAGAAGAGGACATCAGATCCCCTAAAACTGGAGTTATGGACAGTTGTTAGCTGCCATGTGCATGCTGGTATTCGAACCCGGGTCTTCTGCAAGAAGAGCCAGTGCTCTTTAACCACTGAGTCATCTCTCCAACCCCAGAAGCCCCCTTTAATAGTTCTCCCCACTAGCCCACCTGGACACATTCTTTCAGTTTGTTTTTTTTTTTTTTTTACATGAAACCGGGTCTTCGTGGGGCCCCGGCGGGCCCCCAACTTATTTTGAACACACGGCTGGACTTGACCCGGTTTCAGTTTGTTTTTTTTTTTTTTTTAACTTAAGACAGGGTCTCATGGTGCCCAGGCTGGCCTCCAACTTACTATGTAGCCAAGGCTGGCCTTGAACTCCAGATCCTCCTGCCTCCACCCACGGGGGTGGGGGTGGGGGGTGGAATGTAGGGATGGAAGGTGTGTGCCACCACCAGGCTCCATTTGAAGCAGGTGTGTTTACATGTTTTCTGTCACTCAGTCCCAGGCCTCCTGACCAAACCCCTAGGACAGAGCCAGCACAGGGTAAGTTCTCAACAAAACACCATGACACGAACAAATAAATTTCCAGTACAGGGCAGCGGAGCGTATCTTGGGAGGGAGAGAAGGACTAGGTGGGAGCACCCCACGCCCCCACCTCCTGCAGGGCTGGGGAAGTCATCCCTTCCTTCCGCAAGCCCAGCGAGGCCGAGGCCTTGGGCCTCGGATGTCGTCCCGGGCTACAACCGGGCTCTGGCAGCACCGGGAACCCTCGCGGTCCTGCCCTCTCTGGGTCCGGGGTCCTGGGAACTTCCCGTAGACTGTCCTGAGGCGGAACCGGACAGGAGGGGACAAGAGGGGATGGTGGGTCTGGCTAGGAACGGGTTCAACGGCGGGCTTCGTGCTGCAGCGGGGACAGGGCCGACCTGCTTGGCCGACCCGGGGACAGGGACTCGGCCGTGCTTACCTGAGAGCCGGGCGGCGTTCAGCCCAGCCGGGGGCCGGCACAGGCCACGGGACTCCGACCCCGGTAGGCAGCCGCAGCCGGGGAGCGTCGCGCAAGAGCCGCGGGGTCCGGGGACCGCCTGAGCGCCACGCAGGGGGATGGCGCGTGGCGGGATACCGTCGGCGCGCCGGGCCCTCGGGCCCTGAGGACCCCAGTGAGCCCTTCCTGGCAGTGGCGACCCATAGGCGCCGAGGCCGGGGTTTTTCGTGCCGCCAACTCTGGAAAAACATCCACGGCCCCTGCTACTGGCACTTAGGCCCGACCTCCCCCGCCCTCAGCAGCCAATAGTAACGGACTTCCACCCACTGGAGCGGAATTGACCAATCAGATTCCACAGGGCCGCTGTGGGGCTGGAACCGCGGCGCAGCTCACCCGGAAAATGAGCACCAAGTACCGAGCTCCGCCTACATCTGCCCCCCCCCACTTCCTGCGTCAGCCCAGATCCGCCCACCTGGTCTCCCCACCTCTCCGCTGGCGGTGCCTCGGGAACCGGAGCCCCGCTGTGGTGACCTCTGATTACCTGGGCCAGGAAGGAGGGAGTGGGGTGGCTCTCCCTCGGACGCCGCGTGTGTGCCCTCATCAAAGCAAGCTAGTGTTTACAGGACTCCTGCCACCGGTCCCAGCCACCCTGCACGCTGGGTGCCATTAGTGGCATTTTGCAAGAAGCAGCATGACGTTTATAGCGGTCAAGGAATGTGCCCAAAGCCAGAACGCCAATGTTTGAACTGCACCTCCCCAGGTCTCATTGCCTGAGCAGCTGCCTCCGGAACGCCTTCCCCGATGTCGCCTCACTGGGTGTCTATGCGGTGTGCATCATCCCAGGGCAGCTCAGAGACCTGGCCTGTGTCTCCTAGCCTCGGCTCTTGCCCACCTGGTGCACCTCTGCCCAGCCACAGGGGGCACCTTTCAGCCCTGGATATTTGAGCTTGTGGCTGCCCCTGGGTGCATCCCCAAGCTTGGGTCCCTGTCATGTCCCCTCCTCCCAAAAGGCATCCTGGTCACTCCACGTGATAGTATTCACGTGTCTGTCCCTCCTCAGGCATCCCTAGGATGTCTGTCCAGGACCCAACCCTGCGGATGTCCCAGCAGCATCTAGAAGGGTGACTCGGTGCCTGATGCAAGGTACAGGCACCTGCTTATTATAGTTCCCAGGATTGCCCAGGACAGGACAGTGCGGCTGGAATGAGCCTGGGCCTCCTTGTGACTGTGGGAGTTGGTGTCTTTGGGACTTCCTGGTCAGGACCACTGTCAGTCTTACAGGTCAGTAGTCTTAGCCAGTGATTGTGGCCTGGGAGTATCACCAGAGGTCTCAATTTCCTGACAAATGACCACACCCCACAGCTCAGGAATAATGGCAAAAATATGTCCAGGGTCCTTCCTGACCTCCAGGGGTCGGGACACCAAAGTCAGACTCTTTTTTCCAGAAGACTGCCAACTGTCTTCTCATGCTTCTTAAAACTGCAAGCCCACTCTAGTGGTGCCATGCCTGTAATCCCAGAACTCTAGAGGCTGAGGCAGGAGAACTGCCCAGAGTTGGAGGCCAACCAGGGCTACATAGCAAGACCCTGCCTCAGAAAAACAAAGACACTTTGCTATTTTATGTTTTACAATCTGGAATTTTGGACCCCACATGTAGGAGTGGGTGTGGGGGGTTATGACATTTGTAAAGTAACACAGAGTCATCTTTCCTTCATAAAAGAGGCGGTGGCTCATTCACTGCAGTGTCCCCTGCACATGGGACATCGTGGCATGTGGAAAGCTGCATGAGTGGGGATCTGTTGGATTCCTCACCTTTGCAGGGTGCAAACAGCTGTGCCAGCCTCAAGGACCTGATGCGTGTGGGGGCTTTGGGGCCTTCCATACTCCTATTTCATTCATTAGTCTGATCTTTAAAATTACAAAGAATGGTACTGGATTGTAGCAAACTGTGCATAGTGACCCAGCTGCTGCTGCCGGGCTGGCATCTGGGGTAGTGCAGGTGAAAGGCCTCAGGTACTTAAGGTGTGGTCTTCCACTGACTGTGCCTCCTACCATCTCCATCACTGGCTCAGGATAGCTCACCTGCAGGGTCCCTCCCAGGCTCAAGGTGACTCCATTAGGGGCCAGGCCACTAGGGCACTTTGCAGAACAAGGTTCATCCTGTCCACAACATCCTGCCAGTCAAACTGGATAAGCAAGGAGTCAGTGGAGACTGATGAGACAGATGCCTGTGTTCCAGGGTGGAGGATGAGCACTGTGACAAACTGAGGGCTTGTCACATCATTGGAGCCAAGAGGGGGCTAATGGCCTATGGCAGATTCGGTCATCTTTTCAAAAGGTACATCCCTTTCTTGTGACATAATGTGTCCTTTGTTTTTTTGGAGCCTCTCTTGCATCTAAACGCAGCATCTTCCACACTAGAGAAAGTTGCTGTCACCCACATAGCTCTGGGTGGCACAGTGGCCTCCAGCTTTCAGGGAAGCCTCCAGCAGGAAAGGGCTATGGGTTCCTGTCTCAGAGGCTGTGCTGCCATGCACCTGCCTAAGCCACACCCTGTGGCATCTGGAGTCTCTCTGGTACTGTCCTCCATCCCCAAGACTTGCAGACCCCACCTCCTGAGCGTCCTTACCACACTCCCAGCCCTCTCCATCTCTGTCCTACCTGGGTCCTATGCAGAGCTGTTCATGCCCAAAGCACCTGTGCAGAGAGCTGATCCCACTTTGCCCTGCTGCTGAGACACCCAGCTGCCTGTGGCTGGAGGAAGAACAGAAGCCATCCCCTCACTGACAGCCTGCAGCCTGGCTCAGCCCACCTCCACCTCCATAGCTGGCAGCCACTAGTTCACCTGCATCTTGCTCAGACTCTTAGGGTGGCCCTGTGTCAGGACAGAGCTCTAACACTAGACAGACTGCACATGCCCCACCTCCAGCCTCTCCCTTGTGGGGTATCACAAGTATGACCCAAAGAGTGGTCCCCACAGCTCCTCCCCAACCTGCACACCACAGCTCTGTACCCCAGGTTCTTCCTACATAGAACACTCTGCTCCCCCAGCCTAGGGAAGAATCCCACAGCAGGTCTGGGGGCTCAAAGGACTGTACTAAGACTGGGAAATCCTCAGAAAACAGTCTCCCTTGTCTGAACATCAGGTGGCCGTAACAACTCGGCCAAGGGGGACTGGCTGGTTCTCAAAGTCACCAGCGACCCAAACTCCAACTCCATCACCTTACAGAGTGGTGAGCTGCAAACCGGAATACAGGGGGGCGTGGGCGGGTCCTTGGATAGAGTGGGCGTGGTCAAGCCCTTTGGCCCGCCTCCCGCCCAGGGTGGATGCCAACGTCATGACGTGTAGGTCCTTCGGAAGCTTCCCGGGCTTGGGCGGGTCACATGACCTACTTTTTTCGCGCGAAAACCTGGTGTGACGGTGAGGCAGATCGAGCACAGCTATGGCGGTGAGGTTTGGCCCGGGAACGGGCCGGGGGCGGGCTCGGGGGCCGGCGGCCTCTGCCTCCCCTCGGGGTCTCTCCCTGCAGCGGCGGCCCTGGGCGCGGGGCTCCTTGCCTCCGGCTCGACCGGATCTCCTCACGGTCCGGCGTATGCTCCAAGGCCCCGGGGCCCCTGCACTTTGGGGTGGGGGTGCAGGGCGTGAACCCCAGGGCCTAGCGCGTGCCAGGTTCCACCCAGCAGCATCCCAGTCCTCCTTGGTCTCGAGATAGGGTCTCCCTAAGTCACCCAGGCTGGCCTTAACTCCCTCCATAGCCCAGGTTAGCGTTGAATTTGGCGGTCGTGGTTTCTCAGCTTCCAGGGTATTTGGGGTTCCAGGCCTATGACATAGGTCCGGTCTCCCCACAGATACTCTTAGCGTTCTCGTGTCTCCTGTTTAAAGTTCTGTTCCCTTCACCAGGTAGTTCCAGAAACTTGTTCCTTGGTGCCTCCTACTCCTTTATTACTATCCCAACACCCAGCATGTTGTGGGGTGGAGGGATGCCCACTTAAGGGGCAAAAATAGATGATAAATGTTTTCTAAAATGACATAACCGCCGGGCGTGGTGATGTATACCTTTAATCCCAGCACTTGGGAGGTAGAGGAGGCCTGTTCTACATAGGGAGTTCCAGACCCTCTGTAGCTACAGGGAAACCCTGTCTCAAAAAGACACCACACCACCACCCCCACCCCCCCGCAAAGAAAGGCTTATCCATGGTGATGTGGGGTTTTGTTTTTTTTTTTTTTCCTTTGAGAGAGAGACTGGGTGATGTGTGGCCTGAACTGTGAGAAGACTGCATTTGATTGGCTTAGCAGAGAGCAGCCCCATGCCAGTGGGTGGTCTGCCTGGGTTCAGTCTCTAGTGGATAGGAGACAGCCAGTCCGGGAGACCAGGGAAGTCTGACCAAAGCCTCTCTTGCAGGAATCCTCGGAGTCCTTTTCTGCAGCATCTAGCCCTGGCCCACGGAGAAGAGCCAATGATCTGCTCAATTCCAGCCCGGGTCGCAGCTCCCGTCGAGCAGATGCCCTCACTTCCAGCCCTGGCCGGGACCTTCCTCCCTTTGAGGATGAGTCTGAGGGGCTGCTGGGCACAGACGGGCCAGTGGAGGAAGAAGAGGATGGCGAGGAACTCATTGGTGATGACATGGAAAGGTATTTTCAGTCCAGTGGCCCCTCCTGTGTGGTGGTCGGTGAGCCTGTGAACCTAGTGGCCCTGCCTTGAATCCGGCAGTGATCCAAGTCTGGGGAAGACAGTTTCATCAGCCAAAATAAGGAGCCATGTAACTTGCTGTATATAGCTCAGACTAGACCTTAAGGTGGAAGTGAGCCCCAACTCAAGAGAAGGGTCCGTAGGAGCCTAACTTGAAAGGGCCATGAGAGGCTGTGTCAACTCAGACAGGAAGTGAACTGTAAGGTGTTTCTCTGTGACTTTCCTAAGACAGATTGCTTTGTGCTGCCTTGAAAAATGAAGATTTAGGTTCAGTCAGCAAACTTTCACCTAGCCTGCATAGGCAGCATTTATAACTGAGATCTGGTAGGTGCTGTGTGGCACCTGTGTGAGTGCCCAAGAGCCTTGTGGCATCCTCCAGGACCTTTCCAAACTGAGGGTGGGCATGGAATGGGGTGCACATCCCTCAGTCCATGGCACGGGAGCCATCAGAGGGTTCAAGGGCACTCTGAACTGTCCAGGTCTTTGCAAAGCATTGCCCATCCATGTGATGAGTCTTGAATATGCAGTACTCGCCCAGCTGTGGGAGGAGTGACGAGTTGGCACAGGTCACCCTGGGCTCAGGGTCAAGGACTTCCCAGTCCCTCACTGTGGAGCTGTGCCAGCACGGGCCCCTCCTGTGCCACCTTCCTCCCCGACTTGACTCTTATGTTTAGATAAAGGGTTTATATGGGGAGGGGTTAAACTATATTGGGGTATAATTTGTATATTATAAACCTTATCCATATAAGGGTACAATTCAGGAAAAGTTGAATGCAAGCTTCCTAGTTATGAAACGACATTTCCCTCACCCCACTGAGGTTGCTCATGCTTGTTAATCCCAATTCCACCATAGACTTCAGGTTATCTGCTTTCTGTCTGTACCTCTTTCAGGTCTGGCCATTTTACCAGAACTGGAATCATAAAGTATTTGTGCTTTTCTGTCAGTACTTCACTTGGCAGTGTTTCCAAAGCTCAACTATAGCATATATCAGTGCTTTATTTGTTTTTATGGCTAGAATTCCCTTGTATAGATACACTATGTTTTCTTAACCAACATTTGTACCAATTTTCATCTTTGGGGAACTGTAAAGCTATACTCTAAAGCAGCTGTGTTATTTACTATTTCCCCCTACCCCCTAGGAGGGCACTTGGGCTCCAATTGCTACAAGTCTGTGTGGAACACAGCCTCCTGGTGGGAAATGGTTGCTTGCTCCTTGGGTTTTGATTTGCATTTCTTCATAATGACAACATCTTTCTTGTATTTGGGCCATTTGTTTTCTTTGGGAATGATCTATTCAGATCCTTTGCCCATTTATTGAATTGTATAATTTACTGTATCACAAGCTTTGTTTTGTTTTGTTCTGTTGGGTTTGGGTTTTTTAGATTTATTTATTTATGTATGTATGGGTGCATGCATGTGTATAAGTGCTCTTGAAGGTCAAAAGAAGGTGTCAAGTTCCCTGGAGCTGGGCTTTTGGGCAGTTGTGAGCTCCCTGAGATGGGTTCGGGAATCAAACTGGGGTCTTTTGAAAGAACAGCAAGTGCTCTTACACTGTTCCATCTCTAGCCCCTGTTTTTGACTTGTTCTGAATCAATGTGCTATATCAGATAGGTGATTTGCAAATATTTTCTCCTTAGTCTGTGACTTGTCTTTGTCATTTTTTAAACATTTATTATTTTTTTTTATTACATTGTTTTGTGTCCGGGGCAGGCATTCATGGGAGGCACACTTGTAGAGGTCAGAAGACAACTTACAGGAGTTGGTTCTGTCCTTCCACCATGTGGATCCCAGAGATCAAACTCTGGTTTGGCAGATACCTTTACCCACTGAGCATTTCACCAGCCCATAAATGTTGTGTTTTGAAGCAGAAAAGTCTTGTGGTTTGACGAAATTCAGTTGAATTTTTAAGCTCATTAGTATTTCACCAAAGGTGTTTCCTGTGACTGAAATCCTTTAAGGTTCAGACAGATACTTTTCTCTGAAACAGAGAACGCTCCTTTGTACATGTCACTGATCCACATGGGGTAGAATTGTCTATCCCATAAGTGGACAATTCTGGAGAATTGGAATGGGACTAGCTTGGACTTTGGTTTGGCATTGGTGCTATGGAGTTGTCCTGAGAGAATAGTTCGATAGCGTTGACTAAAAAGAGGCAGGCCTAGTTACCACTCACTCTGAGGTCCAGAGGGCTGCTCTTCTGTCCTGGAGGGAGGCCATGTACCCAGGAAAGAGCTTGCAGCTTGATACATTGCATTTACCCCTCAGCCCTGCTGAGTGGCCATTGGCAAAAATCATATCACTCCTCAAAAGTGATATGATAACACCTGCTGCCCCCTGCCCTCCAAGGAAGACGCCATGCCTGATTCTCAGGGCCCTCCTCTGTAAGGCAGAATTTCCTTTCATGTATCTAACAGATAATCATGTGGAAAATGACCCATTGATGGTCTTAGAGGAACTCAGAGAGTGGAACCATCAGATGGGCATTTAGGAGAGGCTGGTCTGGCTGCATGCAGAGTCCTCCTAGGACATCTGGGTTTGGGGAGTGGCCATGCCTGTGGGTGGACAAAGTACAAGGAGGGTGCAACCGCTGGGCTATTAGAGTCTGCTCTCTGGAGCCTTCCTGGCATCAAGACTTGGGAGTTTCTCTAATTCTTTTTTTTCTTTTTCTGTTTTGTTTTGTTTTGTTTTGAGACAGGGTCTCTGTAGCCTCAGCTAGCTTGGAATTCATTATGTAGACAAGAAGAGCCTCAAACTCACAGAGATCCACTTGCCTCTGCCTCCTGAGTGCTAGGATTACTGGGATTAAAGGTGTGCCCCATCACACCCAGCTCTCATGCTGGTTTTTTGTTTTGAGTTTTAAGACAAGGTCTCACAATGTAGCCTGGCAGGCCTAAAACTTGCTATGTAGACCAGGATGCTTTGAATTTACAGTGATTCCCATGCCTCTGCCTCTCCAGTGTTGGGATTAAAGGTGTGTGCTATCATGCCCAACAAAAATGGTCTTTTTGAGTTTTGTTTTTAATTATGTGGGTGTGTCTGTGGGTGCGTGCACGTGTGACTGTTGGTGCCCAGAATGGGTGCTAGATGAGTGTGTCTGTGGGTACCTGTAAGCATAGGGGCCTGGCATGGGTGCTGGGTGTGTCTGTATGTGCACCTTTAAGTGTAGGAGCCTGGTGTGGGTGTTGGGAATTTAACTCTGCAAGAGCAGAATGCACTCAACCCAGCTACATGTGTGTTCTCATACTGTTGAGAACAGAGTTGGTTTGCTAGTTGTTAGTGCCTTTCATTTCCATGGAGTTTAATGTCACACACACATGCACACGCGTGTGTTATCCAAAGCTGGCATTCTGTTTAGGCTTTCCTGGTTTCTTCTGCCCAGTGTCCTTTGGTCTTTTGCCTGGTCAAGGATGCCATGTTGCATTTAGTTTTCATGAGTCCACAGTTTCTTTCTGGCTAGGAGAGTTCCATGCACTTCCTACTTTCTAATGAAAAACAGTGCCAATTGGAGATTGTAAAATGCCCTCCTTTGCTGCTTCCTTGGTAAAGTCTCAAGTCCAGGTCCAAGTGGTGCATTTGGGGAAGAGACTAGAAGTGAAGCATTAGCTGCGCCTAGTCACATGTGGCCAGCAGGTGGCACTGTGAGTATTGACTTGCTCACCTGACCCTGTAACATTGGTGAAGCTTCACCTTCCCATCTCGGACTCTAGGGAAGGAAGTTTCTGCAGATACTGGGGCTTGTGCCCTGCCTCTTTAACAGAGCCTCCAAATAACTTTTCCCTTTTTTTAAAGATTTGTTTTTATATGTATGAGTGCTTTGCCTTCATGTAACTGCATCATATTTATGCAGTGCTTGAGGAGGTCAGATGAGGGTAGTCAATCCCTTGGAACTACATTTATGAACAGTTAATAGCTGCCATGTAGGCCCTGAACCCACTGTTCAGCCAGTGTTCTTAACCACTGGGCCATCTCTCCAGCCCCTACAAATAGGTTTCTTGAGACTTTTCAGTCTTCTATTTCCAGCTGGCCAGCCTGGCTCTGTAGAGCCTGTGGAGCAGGTCCTGTTCCTGGATGGGCTGTTGGGGGACTCACTGTTCATTGTTGATCTCTTTTAGAGACTACCGACCCATCCCAGAGCTGGATGTGTACGAGGCTGAGGGATTGGCTTTGGATGATGAGGATGTGGAAGAACTGACGGCCAGTCAGAGGGAGGCTGCGGAGAGGGTCATGAGGCAGCGGGACCGCGAGGCTGGCCGTAGCCTGGGCCGCATGCGCCGTGGGCTGCTCTATGGTAAGTTTGTGGATATCCCAGAGGGGCCACTTGGGCCTCCAGAGCCTCAGGAAGCAGGGAAGCATGGGTGGGAGCCATGTGCAGAAGATGCTGGGAGAGGCTCACTCACAGGAGTTCCTTCTGCAGACAGCGATGAGGAGGATGAGGACCGTCCTGCCCGGAAGCGCCGCCAGGTGGAACGCGCCACAGAGGATGGCGAGGAGGACGAAGAGATGATCGAGAGCATTGAGAACCTGGAGGACCTTAAGGGCCACACAGTGCGAGAGTGGGTGAGCATGGCAGGGCCGAGGCTGGAGATCCACCACCGCTTCAAGAATTTCCTGCGCACACACGTGGACGGCCATGGCCACAACGTCTTCAAGGAGCGCATCAGTGACATGTGCAAAGGTGTGTTCCTGACAAGTTGAGGTTCTGGGTTCAGCCTGCAGTCTGCCATGAAGGCTGCTCATGCCTTGTCACACCACACCAGACATGTCAGGCACAAGAACATTTGGTGAGGGACAGAACTTGAGGCATCCTTTCAGAGCAGCCCAAAACCTCATGTGTCTGCACCAGGGCTGGACAAATGTCAGACATGCTTAGAAATCCATTGCTACCTGGTTTGGGGAATTTTTGTGTTTTTTTTTGTTTTTTTTTTTGCAGTGCTTGAGATTAAACCCACGTCCTAGCACATTCTAAGCATGAGCCACTCCCCTGCCTGTGGGTTACAACTTTAATCAGAAAGTGCTGGCATTTCTGTGTGACAGCGTTGGCTTTAAAGGGGATGGGCAGCGTGGGCTGGTATGGTCCCTCCTGCAACGGCTCTGGTTCTTCTACAGGTTTCCCTGTGGGCTCTGCAGCAGTGTTTTATAGTTCCGAGAGCTTTGTTCCTATTGCGTTAGTGAGTGCTATTAATGTGTCAGATCTGTTTCACAACCACCTGCAGTATGCCCCAGGTGCAAGCCAGACTGTTCTGGCTCACTGGGATTTGGTTTGGGTGGAGAGGGTCTGGCCTGTAGGGCTACTTCTACTGCCCCTGGTTGTGTCATCCGCCCTGTCCACCATCCACCTCAGAGAACCGAGAGAGCCTGGTGGTGAACTATGAGGACCTGGCAGCCCGTGAGCACGTGTTGGCCTACTTCCTGCCTGAAGCGCCCGCAGAGCTGCTTCAGATCTTTGATGAGGCCGCCCTGGAAGTGGTGCTGGCTATGTACCCCAAGTACGACCGCATCACCAGCCACATCCATGTGCGAATCTCCCACCTGCCTCTGGTGGAAGAGCTGCGTTCACTGAGGTAAGCTGGGGGAGAGAGAACAGGCCTGGTCTGGAGAGTAGGGTGTAAGGTACTCTACGGCCTCTGACGCACTGCCTCCATACCCGCAGGCAGCTGCACCTGAACCAGCTGATCCGTACCAGTGGTGTGGTGACAAGCTGCACAGGCGTCCTGCCCCAGCTCAGCATGGTCAAGTACAATTGTAACAAGTGTAACTTTGTGCTGGGGCCTTTCTGCCAGTCCCAGAACCAGGAGGTGAAGCCTGGGTCATGCCCCGAGTGCCAGTCAGCAGGACCCTTTGAGGTCAACATGGAGGAGGTGAGTGACCTGGGCCTGAGGCGCCAACCTTGGCAGCATACACAGGGCAGCTACACATGGCAGGATGAGCCAGATTGGCCCCCAAGACTCCATGAATTCAAGCCAGTGTATTTGAAACCAAATGATCTGTTCAGTGCATCTGTGTTTGTGATTTCTAGAGATACAGGCAGATAGGGTCCATCCACCCCTGTGGGGCATCTGCACCACCTGCTGGCTTGTTTATAGTGCCTGGCTGGCTCCTGGTGCCTTTTGTGGGGAGGCCAGGGTTATAACCACTTTGAGCCTTGCAGTTCCCTATGCAGGAGACCTAAGTATGTTTCTGGGCTCTGAGATCTTGGGTGTGGCATGCATCTACTTGAGTACCACGTCAGCAGCACCAGAGGTCATGGTTCCTGAGATGGTACCCTTACTGCCTGGCTCTTGGGAATGTTCGTGTTCCCTTCACGTGCTCTGTGGTTCTGAGCTTAGGTGGAGCTGCCTGGCTAGGAAGTGCCTAGAGGGTACTCTACTTGTGATGATCAGTGTGAAAGTCCAGGTTCCCTTCCCCAAGGATGACCAAACTCCAAGGTTGCATTAGCTGTGCCTCTTTCCCATCCTTTGCAGCCCCCTAGAGCTGTGTGGCAAGAGCAGGCTTAGGCTCTGCTCCCAGGGGACTGAGGATTAACAGGTGTGTGCTGGCCTCTCAGGTTGTCTGGTGGGTAATTCGGGCTTGAATCTTTACCACCCTCTGGGAAGTGGATGTTAGACTTTCCTCGCTGTCCTGTGGAGAAACAGATATTCAGAGAAATGATTGACAGGACCCAAGGATCAGGAAACATTTAGATGTCATTGTGTACTTTTAACCACTGTGTCCTCTGTGTCAGCTCTGTGTTCCCGTAATAAAACCCCTGACATAATCAACTGGAAGGAAAGGTTGACTTGGCTCTTGGTTTCAGGAGTTACAGTCAGGCACTTGGTCCTGTGGCTTTGAAGCCTTTGTAAGCCAAGAACTACACATGGTGAGGCAAACTGCTTTCCAGAAACACACTAGAGATCAATCAGCATCCCACAGTCCCCTTTAAGGGCATACCCCCATACCTGAGACCTTCCATGCATAGGTCTTTGGGGATATTTGCAGCCCAGATTGATGTTGTCTCTTTCCTAGGCAGGAAGTGAAATAATGGGCCATTAGCCATGTGACACAATGCTGCCACATGGTCCTGCTGTTTGCAGGTGCTATTGTAGGTGCCTGGTACACATAGCCCAACTTGATACTCATGAGACCACACTCACAGATCAGTACCCACTTCTACAGAGAAAGCGCAGAAAGGAAGCCACTTTCCTAAGATCATACTGCCTAGGACCAGGCCATGGTGTGGACCCAGGTAGACCTAGGCTGCATGGCATAGAGCAGGCTGGAGTCCAGCAGAACTACACAGGGATGGGGGCTGTTGTGGGACCATTACCCACATTGATCACTGTTGGTCTGTCTCTTGCCAACTGTGACTCTCATTTCCCAGTCAGAAAATGGAAATGGCAACCCCACCCACTTATTCTATGTGGGCTGAGGTCAAGGTCAGATCACATAGGAAGGCTGGGCCTTGAGGAGAGCAGTCAGCCATGGAGGACCCACCACCTCCTCTTTGTTCTACACAGACCATCTATCAGAACTATCAACGCATCCGCATCCAGGAGAGTCCAGGCAAGGTGGCTGCCGGCCGGCTGCCCCGCTCTAAGGATGCCATTCTCCTCGCTGATCTGGTTGACAGCTGCAAGCCAGGAGATGAAATAGTGAGTGGGATGGTGGCAACTTGTGGGAGCTTCCCTGGCCAGTGGGGCAAGATTGAGTGCAGCAGAGGGGTGTGGCCCAGCACCTGCTCTTGAGTCTGGAGGAGAGCTTTTCTCCTGCAGTAGAGTGGCTGATTGGAGTGGCAGGTTTATATGTTACTCCACTCTGTTTTGACAGTTCCCAACTTAGAGAAGAGGTTTCCATGGGCCTGGGCAAGAATGCATGGCAGGGAGGGGGTTTGGCTGCTCAACCTCAGATCCAGGGAGCCATAAGAGAGGCACGCAGGGAGGGAGAGCCAGGGTCTGAATATGCCCTCCAGGGGGCATGCTCTCAGTGACCTTTTCTCCCACTGGATCATACCTCCTTCCAGTTGTGCCAGGTTGGGGACCAGATCTTCAAAACATGACCTTCTGGGGCCCTCCAGGTGCAAATCACAGCAGGATAGAGTTCATATGAGCTGCTAAGTTGTTTATCTTGATGTTTGCAGCATGGGGCGCCTTGGGGTGGAGATTGGGGAAGGCAGCTTATACTTAGGCCACCTCGACTTGGGACCCTGGATTGCTCCCTCTTACCTGTGTCCCCTACCTCCCAGGAGCTGACAGGCATCTACCACAACAACTATGATGGCTCACTCAACACTGCCAATGGCTTTCCTGTTTTTGCCACTGTCATCCTAGCCAACCATGTGGCCAAGAAGGACAACAAGGTGGCCGTCGGGGAGCTAACTGATGAGGACGTGAAGATGATCACCAGCCTATCCAAGGACCAGCAGATTGGGGAGAAGGCAGGTGCTGGGCAGGGCTGCACCTGGAGTGCAGGAACCAGGTGTCCTCCCCAGCCTGGGCCTCTGGCTGTAGGTCTTATAGGAGGCCCTGTACTCTGGAGGAAGGGCATAAACTAGCATGGGGGTGGGAGCCCCAGCTCTGCCTCTGGAAGGCAGAAGGTGCCATGTGCCAGAATGGCAGGGGAGGGGGAAGGCTCAACTGCTTTTGTAAGGACCCCACTGTGCATATAGTATTGGATTGAGTTTCTATTCTTAGTGCTATTATACTAGAAACTCAGCTTTCAGTACACACTTCTGGGGGTGCATTCACAGCGCTGTCCTTTGTCTCACTGCCACAGCCATCAGTCAAGGCCAGTCACACGCCCGGTGGGCTCTGAAGGAAAGGGTCTTTCTAGAAAATCCAGGTACAGAGCTTCATTGCATAAACAGGTGATGTCGTTTTCAGCTCCAACTGTCCAATCACTACTTCAACAATGAATTCAAGAAGTCAGTGACCAAATCCCTACAGAGTGCTGTTGGTTGGTCTCTTGGCTCTAGGTCTCTGCTCCTCCCGCTCTGTTTTTTGTTATTGTTGGTATTGTTTTTGTTTGGTTGTGGTTTGGTTATGGTTTGGGTTTTTTTTGTTTTTTTGGTTGTTGGTTATTGGTTGATTTTTGGTAATTGATTTTATTTGGTTGGTTGGTGCTGTTGGTTGTTGTTTTTTTGTTTACTGGCTGTTTTCATTTCTGTGGTGTGCAGATTGAATCGAGGACATTGGTATTCACTAGGTAAGCACAGTGCCACTGAGCAAACCCCAGGCCCAGCCCTATTTTTATGTATATATATTTTTATTTTATGTGTATGAATGTATTACCTACATATATGCATGTATACCTGTGTCATACAATACCCAAAGAGGTCAGAAGAGAGCATCAGATTCCCCTAGAACTAGAGTTACAGGTGGTTGTTAGCCACCATGTGAGTGCTGGGAACCAAACCTGGGTCCTCTGCGAGAGCAGCCAGTGCTCTTAACTGCTGACCATCTCTCCAGCCCTCTCAAAATGTTTTTTTGTGGGCCAGGCGTGGTGGCGCATGCCTTTAATCCCAGCACTTAGGAGGCAGGTGGATCTCTATGAGTTCAAGGCCAGCCTGGTCTACATAGCGAGTTCCAGGACAGCTGGGGCTACAGGGAGACCCTAACTCAAAAAGACGAAGAAAAAAAAAAAAAAATGTTTTTTGGGGAGGAAGCTGCATTGGGGTTTCCCAGTCTAGATGCTGCTGATCTGAAGATGTCCCCTTTGTGTACCGGCCTATTGTTAGTGCTGTCTGTGAATTGACAGACAGCTCCTAGAGCTTAGGGAGTGTGATCTTTTTCCTCTCTTCAAGTAGGTGAACTTCCTTCAGGGGCACAGGAGTGTCATTAGACTTGGCGGCTACAGATGATCTTTGATTAAGTGTCCTAATCCAGCCATGTGTAGGATACACCTGTGATCCCAGCACTTGGGAGGCTGAGGCAAGGAGATCAGAAGTTTAAGACTAGCCTAAGCTATGAGACCTCTGTCTCGGGGGAGAAATACCCACTACTTTATTTGGGTACAGCACAAGTATCTGCTCATTCTGTGACTGTATTTATCTGCTGGGAGATGTTTACAAGAGAATGTGTCTTCATTAGCTGCTGATAGCCCCGTGCACAGCTACAACAAAAATGCCTTCTGAGTGGCTATTGGTTGTTGGGAATGAGTAAACCCTGCATCCTCAGGTCTCAGCATGGTGGCCTCACTCAGACCCAATGCTCAACCGTGCTTGCCATTGTGAGCCCATTCACAGTGGTTCCTTGGTTGCCTTTGCGTGCTGTTTTTCTTTCTGGTAGAGACACTGCAGTTGCCTTGTATACATCTGCTCCTAGACACTGGAAATGGTCTCTCACTTTACATTAGGAAATAGGATTTGGGGATTACTCTTAAGTCTATGTGAATCTGGCCACCCAGGCAGAACCCAGATGACCCAATAGGTGGGTTGACTCCTGAGGCCTGGCGATAGAACCTTGGTTACCTTTGCATGTTGTTTTTCTTCCTGGTGGAGACACTACAGGCTGCTTGTGTACATCCGCCCCTAGACACTGGAAGTTGTCTCTCTCTTTACATTAGGAAATAGGATTTGGGGATTACTCTTAAGTCTGTGAATTTGGCCACCCAGGCAGAACCCAGATGATCCAGTAGGTGGATGTCTCTGGGCCCTGAGTGCTAAGTTCTCTGCTTCAGTGCCTGGGAGCCTGGTGCTGTCTGAGCTCCTTGGTCTGCCCCAAGGGAAGAAGAGGAGTCTGGGGATGTGTCCCAGGTCCATAGAGCCTGCAGTGCAGGGACTAAGGAGGGGAAGGACAGTGGGGGCACAGCTACACTTCAGGTAGTTGGGAGTTTCTCCTGAAGGAAGCCATTTCTTTGCCGTCTGGAGTGCTAGCTTTAAACTCAGACAGGCTTCGCATTTTTGCTGATATGGAGAGATGCTCCCGTGAGTTATACTACTTGAAATAGTTTGACCTGGTGGCACCATATGTTACCTGCCCATCTGCCTCTGTTCACTTGTCTCACTGTGTCATTCAGAGCTCTCCCTTGTAAAGACAGAGGCAATGTGGCAACTGATGTCCCCATCTGCACCCATGAGCCGCTCTTTGTCTGTGTTAAGCAGGCAAGTCCCTTCCCAACTACAGCAGAGTGAAGGATCAAACTGAGATCTTTGCAGCCCTCAAGTGCTATGTTTCCCAGCAGCAGCAGTTAATGAGAGGGCAAGTCAGGGAGGGTGGAGTCTCCTGGTTGTACAGCTGGCTGGTGTTTCTGAGTTGGGCTCTCCCCACTTCCTGAAGCCAGAGCACATAGTGTCCTAGCTACCCTCTGGGTTCTGGACTCATGGGTCTTCCTCTCTCCCTCAGATCTTTGCCAGCATTGCGCCTTCCATTTATGGGCATGAAGACATCAAGAGAGGCCTGGCTCTGGCCCTATTTGGAGGGGAGCCCAAGAACCCAGGTGAGCCAACGTGCCAGCTTTCCATCCTGACTCCCTCTTAAGAGCAAGCCTCATTCCTGACAGACAAGGAGTCCGAATCCTCCCTAAAGTGTTGTAGGTACTGGGGGAGAAAGACCCAGGTAAAGAATGAGGAGAGGCACAGGGACCATGCAGCACAGAGGCCCACTCTCGAGTAGCCAGTGTCTCCTGGCTCCACAGCTGCTACTTTTGCAATTTGACAGCATCCACCCCTGCTTCTTTTTGCTGTTGTGTTTTGTTTTGTTGTTTTTTAAATCAGACCTCCCTGTAGCCCCAACCGGCCTGGAACTCGTTATGTCACCCCAAGCTGGCCTCGATCTCGCAGAGATCTGCCTGCCTCTGTCTAGCCTTGGTGTTGTTTTAATGATAGGATCTGTGTGTGTGTGTGTGTGTATGTATGTATGTGTGTGTATGTATGTAAAAATGCACATATGAGTAGGTGCCTGAGGGGAGGCCAGAGAGGACATCACATTCCCTGGAGCTGAAATTACAGGCAGTTGTGACCTGCCATCTGGGTGCTGGGAACCAAATTTGGGTCATCTGCAAGAACAGTATGTGTTCTTGACCCCTGGCGCCATCTCTTCAGCCACTTCTTGTTCTTTGTTAAATGTAATAATTAACAAGCAATATTGTGTGGGCATGTGATATTAGAAGTCACAGGAGGGATACCGTGTCTCAGCTCTGATTAGCTGTGTATGCCCAGGCTGTGCCAGTCCTCCCATGTGTGGACAACACAGTCAGGGTTTGTGCCTGTGTCCCCAAGTGTGTCTTCCCACTCCACAACTCCTCTGGACTAAGCTCACAGACTTGCCAGCCCCAGGGCTGGGCTTCCCCTCCATTGACCTGTTTTTGTGTTGCTGAGGAGCAACTTGGGAAGTGGGAAGATCTAGCCTGCCCTCCAGGCCTCCTTCCACCTCCATCCCTGCCTCTTCCTGCAGGCGGAAAGCACAGGGTACGAGGTGACATCAACGTACTCCTGTGTGGGGATCCTGGCACAGCCAAGTCTCAGTTCCTCAAATACATTGAGAAGGTGTCCAGCCGGGCCATCTTCACCACTGGCCAGGGTGCATCAGCCGTGGGCCTCACTGCCTATGTCCAGCGACATCCAGTCAGCAGGGAGTGGACCTTAGAGGCTGGAGCCCTGGTTCTGGCTGACCGGGGTGTGTGTCTCATCGATGAGTTTGACAAGGTGGGCTGATGGGATCTAGGGTGTGCTGGTTCTCAGTGGTGGGAGGATGTTATCAGAGGGTGATGAGACCTCCATGAGACACTGTGGGCCGGGACCCTATGTTGTACAGATGAATGACCAGGACAGGACCAGCATCCACGAGGCCATGGAACAGCAGAGTATTTCCATCTCTAAGGCTGGCATCGTCACTTCGCTGCAAGCCCGTTGCACTGTCATTGCTGCCGCCAACCCCATAGGTAAGCTGGGCATGGAACCAGGGAGGGCCTGCCTCTCCAGACTCGGGCACTGAGGTATAAACCTTAGGGTGGCAGCAGGAACAACAGCCCTGTCCTGCCAAATGGGAACAGTGCAGGAAGCACTTGGGACTGAGGCTGCATGCAGGTCCAGCCAGCAGGTGATCAGCATCCAGGGGTCCCTCCATCTTCTGATCCATCTGGAGCTTTGCTCTAGGGTAGCCCTGTGGTGCTTTCTAGGGGAGGCAGGCAGGGTGTCTCCAATGTCTCCCCCCCCACACTTCTGCCCTATAAACATCCTGAGTTTGGAGAAGCTTCCACAGCTTGAGAGGACCAAGAGCTTGCCGTGTGTTTCAGGGGGCCGCTATGATCCCTCGCTGACCTTCTCAGAGAATGTAGACCTCACTGAGCCCATCATTTCTCGCTTTGATGTCCTGTGTGTGGTGAGGGATACTGTGGACCCAGTTCAGGTAAAGCCCCATACCTGGTGCACTTTCTTGGTCTGGGCCCTTGCCTGAGGCTTGGGCCATACTGTGTGGTGGGAGGGGGTTGGCACTGTGGACATGGGCTCATGTCTAGAAGTCACCCTGACTTCTCATGGCTCTCCCTGGCTGCCCACCCAGTACTGCATTCCTTCTCCCAGCTCTCCCTCTGACCCAAGGGATTGCTGTTGTCTGTATTGGCCACTCCTTCGCTCTCCAATTAAAAGAGTAAATTGAATGGCACCTGCTGGCCAGGGGACAGCTGTCCAGTGCTGCCCCAGCCAGCTCTGCAGCCTGCTGTCCTCACGCTAAATACACCCATGTGCCTACTTTCCCTCAGGAAGGCAGGCCTAGCTCTAAATGTTTTCTCTCCCCTGGAGGCTCATGCTCCCCACTTAGACTGTCCTGTGACAGTCTTGGCTCATTATGTCCTTTGGGGAGAGGCCTTCTCTGCCACCCTTGGACACTGGATTCTTCTTGCATCCCCTACCCTATTGTATTTTTTAGCCTGTTGCTTTCTGTTATTTTTCCAGTTTTGTTTTTAAGTCTTATTTTCATTTTTGTCTGTGAATGCATATGTTATATATGTGCATTTGAGTGCAGTTGCCCACCGAAGCCAGAACAGGGCATTGGCTCCCCTGGAGTGGGAGTTACAGGTGGTTGTGAGTCACTTGACATGGGTCCTGGGAATCAAACTCCAGTCCTCTGGAGGAGCAGTAAGCCCTCTTAATTGCTGAGCCATCCGTCCAGCCCCTTCATTTTGGTTTTTGAGGCAAGGTCTCACTCTGTTGCTCCGGCTGAGTTAAGTAATCCTGCCTTGGCTCCTGAGTAGCTGGGATTATAGGTGCTCACAGTTAATGGTGGGGACTGTGTCTCCTGACCCATCTCTAGGAGCTGAGTTCTGTGAGGTCTTGGTTATATTTATCATGATGTTCCAGGTACATGAGGCTGCCTGTCCTCAGCAGGTATGACAGTTGCTCCCATGTACAGCTTCTCCTCTCTTATACTGACTTCCCAGTTCCAGCCTTACAGCCTCCCCCTCACCTCTTGTCTTAGGATGAGATGCTGGCCCGCTTTGTGGTTGGCAGCCATGTCAGACACCACCCCAGCAATAAGAAGGATGAGGGGCTGGCCAGCAGCAGTGACCCAGAGCCTGCCATGCCCAACACATATGGTGTGGAACCCCTGCCACAGGAGGTCCTAAAGAAGTACATCATCTATGCGAAGGAGAGGGTCCATCCAAAGCTCAACCAGATGGACCAGGACAAGGTGGCCAGGATGTACAGTGACCTGAGGAAGGAGTCCATGGTGAGCCTGGACTGCCCTCCTGACTAGGCAGGGGTTGGATCAGTCCAGGGGAGCCTGGAGCACGAGGCCTTAGGAAAGGCTCATCTAGGGTTGGGGTGCCACTCAATGGGGAGTACCTACCTTGTATGCCAAGGCCCTGGTTTCACCCCCAGCACTGCAAATGAAAAAGAAAAGAAACTCCTTCCGTATCTTAACCATTTTATTGTAGGTGAGACTTGAATGTGTCTGGGGGTAGGGGGGTGTCATTGTCTTGACTCTGTTCACTAAGTTCTATATTCACCTAAACCTCGCCCAGTTCACCATGGGGTCTAATTTGGTTTAGAGTGCCTATAGTGAAGCATGGACCTGCCTATGTCTTACCCACATTTAACCAAGACACCAGCTGGGTTTTTCTCCATTTTAATTTTATGTACCATCTTCAGAGCATTCAACTTGGTTCTCGCAGAAACAGCAGCTTCTATCTTACTGCCTGGGTTATGCAGTGTTCAGTGTAGGATCATACAGCCAGCTGTAGGTGTAACAGACCATGAGGCATATACAAGCCAGCTGGGGGCAGAAAGGGCAGCAGTGTGAGTGACAACCACACATCTGGCATGATTGGACTGTGGTATGGAGCCAGGTTCAGCTGCAGGTGCTGCTCAGCAGGGCATAGTGACTCTGGCTGCCCATCGTATGCCTCCAGTCCCTCCTGTCCCTTTCTTCCTGAGGAAGGCCCTGCACTGTGTTCTCTGCAGGCCACAGGCAGCATACCCATTACTGTGCGCCACATCGAGTCCATGATCCGCATGGCAGAGGCCCACGCACGCATGCACCTACGAGACTACGTGATTGAAGATGATGTCAACATGGCCATCCGTGTGATGCTGGAGAGTTTCATCGACACACAGAAGTTCAGCGTCATGCGCAGTATGCGCAAGGTGGGCATAGCCGAGGCCAGGTTTCTATTTTAAGGACCAGGAGGCTCAGGCCTATAGCGTTGATTGACTATGCCTAGGCACAGGTGGCAGGTGAGCTGGCTTCTGACCTCTGCTGTCCTCCTGCAGACCTTCGCCCGATACCTCTCCTTCAGGCGAGATAATAACGAGTTGCTACTGTTCATACTGAAGCAGTTAGTGGCTGAGCAGGTGACATATCAACGTAACCGCTTTGGGGCCCAGCAGGACACCATCGAAGTGCCGGAGAAGGATTTGGTGGACAAGGTACACATGGACAGTGTGGGGTCCAGACACATTTCCCTGGGGAGCTCTCAGCTACCTTTGGGGTGGTCACAGCAGTCATCAAAGGAAGGGCCTTGGGTGGCAGCCACTTAATTGTGTGTACAATGTGCCACATACCATTGAGTAGCAAGCAAATGAGTTAGAAATGGGCACAGGACAAGAGGTACCAAGGGCCTTGTCCAAGTTCCTGGGGGCTGGTGTTGTTAAGGTTTGAGACTCTGTACCAATTTAGTCTTCCATCAACCTCTGTTGGGCCACTTTGCTCCCAGAGATGAGGCAGGTGGGAGTGCTGGCATTCTCCTTTGCTGATGGCTCTGATGCCCTCTGTCCAGGCACGGCAGATCAACATCCACAACCTCTCTGCCTTCTACGACAGCGAGCTCTTCAGGATGAACAAGTTCAGCCACGACCTGAAGCGCAAGATGATCCTGCAGCAGTTCTGAGGCCACTTTGGGACCCCTGTGCCTGAGACTCGGTCCCCACTGGTCATTGCTCTGCAGACACAAAGCCTACCCCCTTCCCCAGTAGGCTCAGCTCTCCATGGGGTTGGTGGTCACAGCTGGATGCCAGCATTCACTTATGGTGCCCTGGACCCAGGCTGTGACAAATGGTGGTATTTATTTCTTTGCCTCACTTTCCACTCACCTGATGGACTTTTGACCTCAGCCTCTGTTGGCAGGTTAGCACATTCCTCACAGTGATGCTCAGGAAGCCCCAGGTGTGTTCAGATGCTACCAAACTGTTGCTGTTTGGGCATGAGTTTCTCCAGCCTGTGCCCTTTGTGAGGCACTGTGGTCTCCTCTGCCATGTGTGAACCCATTTCCTATCACCTAACCGGTGCCTACATTTGCTTTTTGTACAGTTTTTCTCTGTAGTTTAATTTTTAGTAAAGTTGAATAAAACCTATACATTGGTATCTCTTGCCTCATTCTGATTTAATATGATAACTCAGGCCTTCCTGGGCTTCTTTGAAGGCCATTCGTTGTCTGTCCTCAGCTTTTGTCGAATATTGATTTGGTTAGAAGAGTTACTTGGGATAAGAGCAGTTGCTACTCTTACCCAGGTTTGGTTTCCAGCACCCATGCTAGCCTACAACCACTTGTAACTCCAGTTCCAGGGGCCCCAGTGCCCTTTTCTGGTCTCCATGGACACTATACACACATAGTACACAGACAGACAAGCAGGCATACATGTAAATTGGTTTTAGAAAAGCTTTTTAAAAATTTTTATGTGTATTGAATGTTTTGCCATCATGTATGTAAGTGTACCATATGCATGCAGTGCCTACGGAGCCAGAAGAGAGGGTCTGATCACCTAGAACTGGAGTTACAGATGGTTATTAGATGCCATGTGGAACTGAACCCAGGTCCTCTGCAAGAGCAGCCAGTGCTCTTAACTGCTGAGCCATCTCCAGCCCCATAATTTTTAAGTTGTTTGTAGATGTGTCCTGGACTTTGAATCATCAGTGCTCCCCAGGTCAGTGTGAATTCTTAAGTCACCAGCTTTGGGTGCTATTGGAAGCTGGAGCCTAGTAGGAGGAAGTGAGATCACTGGACACTGACACTTTTTCTTTACTTCCTGGCTACTGTGAGGTTAGCAGGTCTCTGCCACTATGATGTTCTGTCTCAACTGTACACAAATGGAGCCATAGCCAAACCCAAAACAGCTGAAAACCTTCCCTTACAAGTTGATTCTCTCTTTGTTACAGCAACAGAAAGCTGATAGCACAAGATATAGCCGTTACAGCACAGTCAGAACCAACATACAGTGATGACTCCTTGCCAGCTCAGATGAGATATATCTTTATCCATTGTTCCTGGGTCTTACCTGTAGAGCTTCTTCATTTAGATTGTACATAATTAGTTTGGTTTGTTCCTGACTGTTAATTGTACTGTTGAGGCTTTGAATGGCATCTTCTCTCTCTTTCCCCCCTCCCCATTTTATTTTATTATATTTTTGGTTTTTTGAGAGAGGGTCTCCCTTTTACCCTAAGCTGGCCTGAAACTAAATATATAGACCAGGGTTGCCTGCATCTCAGAGATTTGCCTGCCTCTACCGAGTCCTGGGATTAAAGGCAGGCACCACCACCACGCCACGTTCTCTTCTAAGCAACCTTAGAATGAAACTCTGTTCATCCTAATAACTCACCTGTTCAGTTCACAGCTGGCAAGCTACACTAAGCCACACTCATCCCACCCTGCTGTGTTTCCAGTGTTACTGAAAGACCAGGAAGATCGACCTGCTTGGTACCTTGTGTCCAACCTTGGTGAACTCGGTTTTCAGTTAGAGGTTGAATTTTCTAGGAAAAGCTGAATACAGTGAGTTTTGTCAAGTCTTTCCCCCCGCTTAATTTCACCTGTTCCTTTTTATCCAGCATTAACCCTTACAGAACATTCAACATTTGGGGTAACGACCATCCTCTTCCTGTTCCTCACTTGTAAAGGTGTTCTGGGAGATCCTCTGTTGAATTACAGGCGTTTCTATATTTCATTATTATCATTATTATTATTATTATTTTGGTCTTTTTGAGACAGGGTCTTCCTGTAGCCTCAGCTGACCTGGAGCTTGATATGTAGACCAAGCTGGCCTTGAACTCACAGAGATCCACCTGCTTCTGCTTCCGGAGTGCTGGGATTAAAGGCATGTGCCACCACACCTGGCTGAATTTCTACATTTTATATCCTTCAAGGATTTTTGTTCCTTTTTTATTTTATTATTTATTTACTTATTTATAGACAGTGTCTCACTGGGTAGCCCTGGTTAGCCTGGATCTCACTATGTAGACCAGGCTGGCCTCAAACATAGAGATCCTCCTGGCTCTGCTGGGGTTAAAGGTCTGCCAAGCCTGTATGTCTTTTTATAGGAGATGTCAAGTTTAACTGGTAAGACCTGTGGCATTTTCTAATACTCTACAAACCTTGTCCTGAAGCTAAGCCCTGTTTAAACATGGAAGTAACACAGCAATGAATAACTGCAGTTGGCTTGCTGCACTTTGTTAGAGAGGCACCAGCGGCTGCAAGATGGGACAGCTCAGGCCATCGGCTTTGTGTCATTTCACCTCTCCTTTTGTTTTCCCTGTTATTGGTCTTTTTAGTCTTTCTACTACTGGGATGAATTTCAGTAAACATACATTTTACTTCAAAGCATTCATTAGGGGAGTTGGTGAAGTGCTGAGGATGTGAGTTCCATTCCCACAATATACCTAAAAAGCCACGGTGGTGCGTTGTAATCTCAGCATTGAAGAAGCAGAGACGGAGTGTTCCTGGGACTCCCTGGCTAGCCAGTGGTGAGCTCCTGACCAGTGAGAGATTCTGTCAAAAAAAATTATGGTGAATGGGCATGGAGGAAATCACACAATGTCAACTCTGGGCTCCACACCTGCATATATCACACACACACACACACACACACACACACACACATGCACACGCACACACACATACATGCACAAGCATTCCTGTATATGCTGTTATTATTGTGTAGGCATGTATTTACAGGAACACGTGTGCTGTGGTGTGTGGGTGGAGGTCAGAAGACAACTTCAAGAGTTGGTTCTCTCCTTCCACCATGGGTTCCAGGGATCAAACTCAAGTTGTCAGACTTGGTGGCAAGGGCCTTTGGACTTTTAAAATTTTACTAATAAATCATGTCATTTTTCTTACAATTTTAAGAATCAAATTAGTACTTTTAAAATATTTTTTATTTTTATTTATGTGTATGAGTGTATTGCCTGCATGTATGTAAGTGTACCTGTGTCATGCAATGTCCACAGAGGTCAAAAGAGGGTGTCGGATTCCCCTGGAACTGGAGTTATGGATGGTTGTTAGTTGTGGGTGCTGGAAATCAAACCCAGGTCCTCTGCAAGAGAAGCCAGTACTCTTAACTGATGAGCCATCTCTCCAGTCCTATATTACTTAATATATATATATTTTTTTTATTTTCAATTGTGTGTATGTGTGTATGGGTATGTGTATATGACTGCAGTTGACCCGCCTCCCCAGGGGTCATATCCACTGGAGCAGGAGTTACAGATGGTTGTGAGCTGCCGTGTGGGAGCTGGGAACCAAATCCAAGTCCTCTGCAAGAGCAACCAGTGCTCTTAACTGCTGAACCATCTCTTCAGCCCTCTTTTATATTCATTTTTGAGACAAGGTATTGTCCTGTAGCCCAACCTGACCTGGAGCTTGTCTCAATCCTTCTGCCTCTGCCTTCTGAGTGCTAGGATAAGCCACTGTGCCTGGCTTTTATTTATCTTTTTAAATAATAGGTTTTTAGCAGTCAGTTCTATTAGGTTCTTTTTTTTTTTTTTTTTGAGACAGGATCTCCCTGTAGCCCCAGCTGGTCTGGAACTCACTGTGTAGACCAGGCTGGCCTTGAACTCACAGAGGCCTGCCTCTGCCTTCCAAGCGCTGGGACTAAAGGTGCGCACCACCATGCCCTGCTCTATTAGGTTCTTTGTTCTACTTCAACAATAGAAATTTATTGATTATTTTCTGTGTTTTTTAAATGGCTTCTTAAATTGGACACTTAACTCATTCACTTTTAACCCATTTTTTTTTTTTTTAAACAACAATGTGTTTGCAGCTATGGAATCTCTGCCAACTGTTGGCTCCATCCCTGGACTTTGATACACAAAGCTCTCACCGTATTAGCTTCTGAATAGATTAAGTTCACACTGTGATGTGCTCTGACTCAGAGTCATTTAGAACCACATGCATTTGGGGCTGCAATTCCCTCCACCAGTCAAATCTCACTACTTTTTAAATGTTTTAAAAGACTTTTTTAATTTTTTATGTATATGTGTCTATGTGAGTGTATGCCATGTATATGCAGGTGCCTGTGGAGGCCAGAAGAGGGCATCGGATCCCCTGGAGCTGAAGTTACAGGAGGTTGTGAGCTGCTATGTGGGTGCTGGGAATTGAACTCAGGTCCTCTGGAAGAGCAGCACACACTCTTAACTGCTGAGCCATCTTTCCAGCCCCTCTCGTTTGCTTCTTATTTTCCATATTCCTCATTGTAGACCTACCAGCACACTCAGCAGAGTTCCCTGGCTATGTTGTGAGTTTGTATCTTCCTCTCTCCAGATACCAACCTGTCTCTCAGGGGGAGTTGGTTTTTCCAAAGGTGACAGAGGATGGGTGGTGTCTGTACTTAACAACTCAGGCTGACATTGTTCACTATGGTGTCCATGGAGAGGAAATTGTGACAATGAGCCTATGTGGAGGGAGATGCTGACCTGGAAGGCCTCAGTCTCCTCTCCCAAGCCAGAGATTCACTCTAATGGCTCTTCTTGGCAGTACTGTATATACCTCTCTTCTGCCATCTGTCCACTGAAAAATGGTCACTATAAGAACAATGACCATGAGGTTCAAACAGTTCAGAATAGCAAAGCCATTAGCTTTGTTTTAAGACCCAACAGGCTTTTCCCCTGTTGGGACAGCCTATGATTGGGTGTCCCCTGTATGGTCTGGCTTTACACAGGAACTTCATGCCTGTACCTTCCACCCCAAATCCTGTTTCTCTAAATAGCCTGGGAAAGTCATGTGCCACCATCTATGGTATCCAATGACACACCCTGCAGTGAGGATATAGTTTACAAAACATTCAATGTAGCATTTTAAATCTTTTTAAAAGTCATTTAATTTTTCTGTATGTGTGCATCTGTGTGAGTGTATACAGTGCAGGTGCCCACAGAGGCCAGAAGAGGGCGTCAGACCCCTGGAGTAAGAGTCATAGGCAGCATGACATGGGTGCTGGGAGCTGAGCTCCTGACCTTTGGGAGAGCAGCAAGCACTCTTGACTGCTGAGCCATCTCCCCAACTGCCCCTCCCCACACCCTTTTTATTAAATTTAAATTTATGAAGCCCAGACTAAACCAGCCTGAACTCACTTCCTCCCAAGTGCTGGGGATTATAG